ACTTCCACAAAGATTAGAAAGCTCGCACAGGCGGCTGCGCCGCCGCCACCACCTCGGCCATGCCTCGGCTGCGCCGCCGCCACCACCTCGGCCATGCCTCGGCTGCGCCGCCGCCACCACCTCGGCCATGCCTCGGCTGCGCCGCCGCCACCACCTCGGCCATGCCTCGGCTGCGCCGCCGCCACCATCTCGGTCATGCCTCGGCTGCGTCGCCGCTGTAGCTCGGCTATCTCTCGGCTGCACCGCGGCTGCGGTAGTCGCGCAGGCGGCGCGCCGCGTGGGCGCCAAGTTCACCTCCAAGAACCAGCCGTCGCTCCTCTCCGAGATCCGCCACTTCCTGACGGAGGCACACGCCGCCTGGCCCGCTCGGCCGCGCAGAGCCCGGAGCCTGCCCGGAGCGTTTTAGCCGTCCCCCCCCCCCCCCCCTGCAGGACATGATGTTTGGGCCGCTCACCTTCCAGGACGGGCTGACGGGCAGCGAGCTCGGGTCCGTCTCGTCGGCGACCCAACGCCGCCTTCCAGCCGGAAGAGGCTTGGAGCCGTCCTGGCGACGGCGGCGGGTCCCCCGAGTAGGTCACCGAGCTGCTCTCAACGTGGCAGAGCCTGCCCGAGAGCGCCGTCGCCTTTCACGCGCGCGAGCGCCACCTCTCCAAGCAACTCCTCGACACCCCCGCGACACTTCCGCGACACTTCCTGTAGGCGCGCGAGTGCCACCTCTCCAAGTGGTTCCTCGCGCGCGCCGAGTTCTCGCTCGCGCGGCGCTTCCGCGCGTCAAACTACCCGACCGACTTCATCGACCCCGAGGGGCGCGAGCGCGCCGACTGGCTGCGCAACTGGATCCTCTCCGAGACGCGCGCGCACCGCAACAAGCTCGCGTCGGGCGTCGAGAACGCGCGCGCGGCCGACCCGCCACGCAGGAAGGGCCACGAGCACTCGCAGGCGACGTGCGGCGAGCTTCTGGTAGGTGCACTCGGCCGACGCGAGTACGACGATCGTGCGGCTCGGCAAGGGCTCGCTCGGCGGCAAGGGGCGCGGCTTCCGTTTCCTCCACTCGATCGAGGACAAGTACTCTCTGTCGACGCTGCTGCCTGAGCTCGAGATGGTGGTCCCTCGCTCCTTCATCCTCGCGACCGAGGTCTTCGACCGCTTCATCGAGGACAACAAGCTCATGGTGCCCGCCCTCAACGCGACGACCAACGAGGAGGTGCGCGAGATGTTCGCCGCCGCGACGCTGCCGCAGGACGTCACCGTCGAGCTGCGCCGCTACCTGGAGGCGCAGACCAGCCCGCTCGCCGTCCGTTCGTCGTCCCTCTTCGAGGACGCGTTTCTGCAGCCCTTCGCCGGCATCTACGAGTCCATCATGCTGCCGAACACGGCGGGCTCGCTCGAGGCGCGGCTCGACGAGCTCTCTTGGGCGGTGCGGATGGTGTATGCGTCCGCCTACTGCCTCGAGGCGCGCGCCTACTCGGAGGGGACCGGCAACCGCGCCGAGGAGGAGAAGATGGCGGTCATCATGCAGGAGGTGGTGGGCGACGTGCACGGCGACCACTTCTACCCCTCCCTCGCCGGCGTCGCGAACTCGATCGACTTTTACCCGCGGCCGCACACGCAGCCCGAGGACGGCTGCGCGCAGCTGCGGCTCGGGCTCGGCTTCGGCGTCGTCGACAACCTTCCGTCCGTCCACCTCTCGCTCGGCGACCCGGCCAACCCGACCGGCTACGCCGAGGGGGAGATGCAAGTCTCGGCCCTCAACCTCGCCGCCCGGCCGGGCGCCGCCGCCGGCGAGGACTCGCTGCTCGTGTCGCTGCCCGCCGAGAGCGGCGCCGCCGCCGCGGCTCTCACGACGGTGCCGCGCCTGAGCGCGGGCTCGGTCGTGGCCGCGCCGGAGGCCGCGTCCTCGGTGCCGCTCTCGCACGACGTCCACGGCGAGCGGGTGGTCTTCAAGCAGGGCTACGGCGAGGAGCGGCGCGGCGAGGCGCCGCCGCCGCCCGACGAGTCGGCCGTGGTGCTCCCTCTGCAGCGAGCCCTCTCCGGGGAGGTGCCTCTGGCGAGCGCCCTCGCCTTCCTGCTGCGGCTCGGCTCGGCCGGCCTCGGCTGCCCCGTCGAGATCGAGTTTGCGCTCCGGCTGCGCAAGGACGCCGGCAGCCGGCACCAGCTGCACGTGCTGCAGATGCGGCCGCAGGCGGGACTCTCGCCCAAGCGCGCGAGACGGGCCGCCCCGCCTGCACCTCCTCCGAGCCCGCTCCGGAGCCTCTCTGTAGGCGGACCTCTCGTCCAATAACACGGCGCGTGCGCTCCGCTTCCGCTACCTCCCGACGAGCGACTACGCCGCCATGGCATCCAAGCTCACGCGCTCGGCCTCTCACCGTGCGAGTCCCTTCGCCGAACCCGTTCGACACCTTTCCTCCTAGGCCTCGAAGCACGCGCTCGGCCACGGCCGCTTCGAGCAGATCCGCGACGTGGTCTTTGTGCCGCCGGGCCGCTTCTCGCCCGAGAACACGACCGCCATCGCCGCCGAGATTAGCGCTATCAACGCGCAGCTGCGCGCCGAGGGGAGGAAGTGCTTGCTGATCGCGCCGGGGCGGTGGGGCTCCGCCGACACGGCGCGCGGCATCCCGGTGGGCTGGGCAGACATCGACGCCTCGACTTTCATCGTCGAGACGACCGTGCCCGGCAGCGCAAAGGCGCGGCCGCCGTGCGTGGCCTCTTCTCCTCAGGCACGTCGGCCACACCCGCCCGCCGCCCGCCCGCAGGTGCCGCTCTCGCAGGGGTCGCACTTCTTCCAGAACCTCCTCTCCTTCGGGCACGGCTACGCCACGGTCGAGGAGGGCTCCGACGAGTACGCCGACTACGACTATTGGGAGCGCCTCCCTGCAGAGGCGGGGTCCGGCGAGTTTGCGCGGCACGTCCGGCTGCCCGAGCCGCTCGAGGCGCGCTCACCGCGGGCGCTTCCGACACTCCCCGACACACAGTGGTGGGGACGAGCTCTCGACGCGAGAGGAGTGCCTCTTCACAGCCGCAGCTATGAACAGGTGGTGGTGGACGGCATGTCGCGCCGCGGCGTCGTGATGAAGCCGGGCAAGCCGTTCGAGGTGTACATTGCGCAAGTGGACGCATTCATGGCCATCCAGGAGCAGGCCAGCGGCAGCATGTAGAGGGTTGCCGCTTCCTTTCGCTTCGGTCTCCCCGCGACGAGGGCCGCCCTTTTGTGGCGGAGCGCCCTGCTTTTGTACTGTACCCTCAGCTCTCTTGCTTCGCCACTCGCGCCCCGCCCGCGACCCGCGCCGACTTGGCTGGGCGCGCTCAAGTCTCGCCCGGTGCTACGCGCTGGTCGTTCTTCCTGCCAGTTCCGTCGGATTCGGTCGGATGTCCTGTGGTATGACGTATGTCGTATCTCGCGGCGCGGCCTGGGCGAGCTACTAGCTACTAGACCCTGCGGCAGCGCCTGCGCACCTCTAGCTAGACCCCCCCCCCCGCCGGCCGAGCGTTGCCGCTCTAAACGACTTGCTCATAAGTCATACAAACGTGTTTGGACTTTGATTATTGAAGAACGAAAAGAGCTTGCGCCGTGGGTCCCATGTGAGAAGAACATATGTCACCGCCAATCCGCGGGCCGGCTCTACTACCTCTCACCTGCAGTAGCGGCTCGCCCCGGCACGCGGCAGGCCGCGGCTCCGGCGCTCCGCCGCGCCCTCCGGAAGCTCCGCTCTCCTCTGTATATAGCGCCTCAGGGGTCTAGCGCCTCACCTCATCGCAGTGTGCTCAGTAGCCCACCCGTCACAACCCCCCGCATGCAATGGCAGTGCTTACGGTGCTCATTGATGAGCACGTGCCGAGGTGAAGGCGCGCCGCCAACGCGCCAACCACGCGCGCTGGCCCCTCAGATCCGAATTAGGGCCTCGTTCCTCCTGCAAGAGGCCATGGCCGCGGGCTTCCAGGCGCGCGGACTCGAGTTCGATGAGATCGACGTGATGCTCGGCTCTTTGGAGGCCGCCGCCGGTGGCGTCGGTGCGAGGACCTCGCTCCACTCGTTGGTGGCAGCGACTGCGTGCACTGCGATGCTCGAGCAGCGGCTGAAGGATGGCTTGCGCTCCAGCTTTGCAGGCGAGGCCCCAATGGCGGTTTTGCTGTGGCTTCGAATCACCGCCTCGTGAAAGGTGACCAGCTGCGCCACCGGTGGCGTCGCCAGGGGCGCGTACACCTCGGTCGGGGATGGCTCATCCTCGAGGGCGTCCACCGATTGCTTGCCCCAAATCAGCTGCGTGCTGGCGCCGGCGGCGGCGCCACAAGTCGGCCGCTCGGCCGCGCCGTTAGCGACCGCCGGCTGCCCAGCGAGCCCGACGTCCCCGTCGCCGTCGAGGTCGATGTTTGTCACCCACTCGACAGCGTTGACCACCCTCTCCAAAAAGCTCTGCTGCTCCGCCTCAGCCTCGCCCGCTGCGTCGGACGCCCCCGACGTCGCCTCCGACGTCGCCTCCGACGTCGCCTCCGACGTCGCCTCCGACGTCGCCTCCTCCGGCCGCCCAGCGAGCCCAACGTCGCCGTCGCCGTCCAAGTCGATGTTTGTCACCCACTCGACAGCGTTGACCACCTGCTCGACGATCGCGCACGACTCAGGCTCGTCTGCAGCCGCTTTGGGGTCGTCGCCCTCCGCCTCGACATCTGCCGCCGCCTCTGCTTCCGGGACGCACTCCTCTTCAGTGCGCTCCTCGCAAGCAGCTTCGGAACCGCTCGCCTCGGAGTCGCACGTCTCAGCGCCATTGCACTCCTTTGTGGCCGGCTCGGAGTCCTCCTCGCACCGCGAGGCAGCAGCTGCCGCAGCTTGTGCTGCTGCGCGGCGCTCGCCCATCGACTTGTGGAGGCTGCGGTGCGAATGAGACAGCTTCTCGAACACCGCAAGATAAAGCTGCGCGCGTCCGCACGCGTCTGAGGGCAAGGGGAGGAAAGGCCGTGTCGTCTCGCGTGCGGGTGCCCGAAGGGGGGGGTCTACTAACGATGGCTCCGCCCGCGCGCCTTCATGTCGTGTCTCTTCTTGCAGCCGGGCGTGCGCGGAGAAGGCGTCTCCTCCGGCCAGAGCGGCGAAAATCTCGGCAGCCGCAGTTGTCAGCGAGCTCGTCTCCGGACGCCGCGTCCCAGCGAAAGTAGGCGCGCCGCCCTGCCTGGCGGAATCGCTATCGCGGACGTTTCTGCGCCAGCGGACCTAGCGGAGGGACATCCCTGATTGGCGCGGGACGCGAGGGGGGACTAAAAGGGTCGGCGGGGCGGGGCGGAGAGGACCATTGAAGACTGCTGAGCTCCAGATCGCGGCGGGCGCGCGGCGGGCGCCTGTATTCAAATCTCGACGAATCGAGCAGAAGGCGTTTCTAGTTTTGAAGCGAGCACGACACGTTGTGCTTCTTCCTCCACCCACTTGCCTGAATGTGCGTCTTTCTTTCTTGAGAATTCTTTCTAGAGGAGGGGACACGGCGGATACGTACGTACGAGAAGTGACGAGTCACACACGGGTGGGACAGGGTGGGTCACAACAACGAGGCACGAGAGCGTGCACGACAGAGCGACGGCGCAGCGTACCGCCGTCCAGCTAAAAAGCGGCGGCCGACGGTTGCTGCGCAAAGTGATCAGTTCTAAAATAGGTGCCGGGGCCCAACGGATAGATGAATCCGGGGCACCCTCCGCTCGAATCCCTGGCCGGGGGTTCGAGGTGGCCCCCACCCTGGGGCCTCCCATCAAAGGGACTGCGGCAGAAGACGCCCAATCTTGCACAGGTGCAAGAACCATACGTCTTCTGATAAACGCAGTATGGAAGATACAAAGAGACGGAGGAGCAACGAGCGCCCTGGCGTGAGCCGAAGACACTCCCAACTGCGCTCCGTCACCGGTGTCGCGGTCTCCCCCACTGAGGGCGATCTGCGGGGGGGAGTCGCGCCGCCGGCATGTATCTGTGCAACTGTGTTTTTGCCTTGTCCCGTTTGATGGAGCAAAGTCACGGGCCGCCCGCGCTTGAAGGCGGTCGCGCCAGGCGCGGGCGGCACTAGTTGCCGGCGATCCGCTTGGGCAGCGCCCACGCTTGCCTCTGGCTGCGTCTCCATAGGTCGCGCGGCCCGAATGCTCGAATTGAACGTCTCGCAAGCTGGCGTCGCTCGCGTAGCTGTGGCAGGGCGATCCTCCCTCCGGATGAGGGAGATCTCTAGCCTCCTAACGAGGTTGCCCTCCGGCTGGCTGTTGCCGACAGCAGTTAACACCTCCGCAGTTGCGTCGGTCGCGCCACAGGTAGAGACGTTGAGCTCGACAAAGTCTTGGTAGTTGTTTCGGGCCATCAGTCCGACAGGAGAGGGCCAGCGGTCGCCTCCTCGAGCTGCCCATGCCTTCGCCGGTTTGGAGTATCGTCGCCGCCACCACCATGTGCGCCCAGGAAAAGGAGGGCTCCCCACTGAGGGCGGTCTGCGGGGGGAGCCGAGTCGCACGGAACGACCTCCTGATGGGATCGCCCCTCCTCGCTGAGGGCGATCTGCGGGAGGAAGGGCCCCACCTCTCCCCACTGAGGGCGGTCTGCGGGGGAAGAGGTCCTGGATCGAACAAACCTTGCCTCCGCTCAGGACGGCTGACAAGGACGGCGACCACCGCATGGAGGCGTCCATTGATCCACTCGGGGGCTGGTCCCAAGGGTCACAGCTCAGGCCGAGCGGCCGCCGGTGCGACGACGACGCACCTTGCCTGTCGCGTGAATGAAGTGTGCTGTGCGAGCGAGCGCCTAGTAAAATTTACTCTCGTGAGCTGTGAACAGACGCACTTGCCTTGGGGGCCAGTATCCCAATCCGCTACCCTTTAAAATTCTTCATTCCAAGACGCAAGAAAAAGAAACGCTGGGAGGTTCAAAGCGACCACAACCCCACCCCACTCCTCACGCGCGACGCTCTGGCACTGAACGCAAACGCCGTTCTCTCGTCGACGAAGTCGACATACGATGCCAGCAGCGAAGGACGAGGTCAGCGCGTCGCTCGAGGGCGGGATCACGCTCCGGCCGTACCAGCGCGAGGGCGCAAACTGGCTGCTGTGGTCGCGGAAGCAGGGCCGCTCGGTGATCCTCGGCGACGAGATGGGTCTCGGCAAGACCATGCAGGTTGTCGCCTGCCTGCGGCACCAGGTCGTGGAGTGGGGGTGCGACGGGCCGTTCCTGGTGGTGGCGCCGCTCTCCACCATTGGGCACTGGGAGCGAGAGCTCGGCCGTGCGCCCGAGCTTCGCCCACAGGTCCTGAGGGGACCGGCGGCCGAGCGCCGTGCGCAGCTGCGCGAGGGCGGCCCGTCCGGCGTGAGGGCGTGGACCGTGCTGATCACGACGTACGAGACGCTGCTGAGCGACGCGCGGGCGCTGCAGGGCATCGAGTGGAGCGGCCTCGTCTTTGACGAGGCGCAGCGGCTCAAGAATGCAAAGTCCAAGTCGTTTGCGGCGGCGGCGGCGCTGCGCTGCGAGCACAAGGTGCTGCTCTCGGGGACGCCGCTGCAGAACTCGGTGGGCGAGCTCTGGTCGCTGCTGCACCTGCTCTCGCCCACCGGATTTGCAGACGAGGTCGCCTTCGGCCGCCGCTTCGGCGGCCTCGAGACTGCTCGGCAGGCGACGGCGCTCAGCAGCCTGCTGCGGCCCTTCCTTCTGCGCCGCACCAAGGCGGACGTGGAGGTGTCGCTCGAGCCTCTGACGGAGATGCTCATCTACGTCGAGGTGACGGCGCTGCAAAAGATGACCTACCGCGCCATCTGCGAGCGCAACCGCGAGCTGCTTGTCCCGTCGGAGCGAGGCGGCAAGCGCTCCTCGCTCTCGTTCCGAAACCTCGAGGCGCGCGATGCGGCGCCTGTCGCCCCCCCCTCTCCACCCCCCTCCGCCCCTCCACCCCCCTGCTTCCGCTTTTGCGGCACGTCCTGACGCGTCTCGGAGCTGTGCGCAGGTGCTGATGCGGCACTGCTGCAACCACCCGTACCTGGTGGCGGGTGTGGAGGAGGAGGAGGAGGTGCGCGCGGGCGGGTACGGGTCGCCCGCCGCCGAGCTCGACGCCCTCGTCGCCGCCTCGGGCAAGACGGTCCTTCTCTCCAAGCTGCTGCCGCACCTGACCGCTGGCGGCCACCGCACGCTCCTCTTCTCGCAGTTCAAGCTGGTGCTCGACCTGCTCGAGGACGTGCTCGACCACCTCGGGCTGCCGTACGAGCGGCTCGACGGGGACGTGACCGGCGCGGCGCGGCAGGCCGCCATCGCCCGCTTCGAGGCGCCGGGCTGCACCACGCCCGTCTTCCTCCTCGGAACTCGCGCGGGCGCGGGCCCGGCAGCAGGCTCGCGGTCCCTTCCCGGACCCTTCGCCGGACCCTGGCCAGACCCTCGGCACAGGCGGGCTCGGGATCACGCTCACCTCGGCCGACACCGTCGTGCTGTACGACCCGGACTGGAACCCGCAGGCCGACCTGCAGGCGGCGGCGCGCTGCCACCGGATCGGGCAGACCAAGCCGGGGACGCGTCGGCAAAACAGAAAGCCGGCGCAGCAATCAAAGAGAGCTGGGAATAGGCAAGCCAAGCCGGTGACCGTCTACCGGCTCGTCACGCGAGACACGTACGAGATGGCCCTCTACGCGCGCGCCAACCAGAAGCGAGGCCTCGAGCAGGCCGTCATCGGCCACGGCGATTTTGGCGCAGCTGCTGGCGGCCGCCGCGGCGCGGCTCCGGACGCGGCCGAGATCGAGGCGCTGCTCCGGCGCGGCGCGCACGTGCTCACTCTTGGAGAGGAGCAAGACGAGGCGCCCCCCTTCCCCCGCACCCCCCTTCCCCCCTTCCCCCCCCCCTCCCCCCCTCCCCCCACACACCGCCCCCCCGGACTGCGGCACGCTGCTTCGCCCTCTCGGGCCACTCTCCGCCCGCCCCGCCCCGCCCCGCTCTCGAGGCGTCGCGCCGCTTCGCGTCGAGCTCCATCGAGCACCTCCTCGCCGCAAACGCGGTGGCCATTGACTCGTCGGCGGGGCGCGCGCGCAGCGGCGGCGTCTTCGCCGAGGCTACCTTTGTGAGTGGCGAGGAGAGCGGCGTGCCCGACCTCGACGACCCCGACTTTTGGACGAGGGTGCTGCCGCCGCCCCCGCCAGTCGAGGCGGCGCCGTCCGCCGACTCGCGCTCCCTCCGCCGCCGCGCGTCGGTCGTCGTCGAGGAGAGCGACGGCTCGCCGAGCAGCGAGGAGGAGGAGGAGAGCGGGCTCCCTCCTCCGCGAGGAGGCTGGTCGCCGTCGCAGTTGCGCGCTCTGGTCGCCGGCGCGCCGGACACTCACGCGCGCCCGCCGCCCCGCGAGCCATGCGGCGCAGGCGGAGCGGTCTGCCACGGTAGGTGTCCTCCGGCTCGGCCCCGGCCGGTTCGGGGCGAGCCAGCACTTGCTCAGCGTGCCGGAGCTCGAAACTCGTCCGCCCGGGGAGGTGCAGATCGCCATCCGCGCCGTCGTGCGGCTCTGGCTCGAGGCGCAGCCGTCCCGCGGGCAGAAGGACGCACCCGTGACGCTCTCCGACGTCGGCCTCACAGCCGCCGCCGACCCCGACCCCGCCGCCGAGGCTGCCGAGCCTTGCCTCCCCGCGCCGCCCTCCCCTGCGCCGCCCTCCCCCGCGCCTTGCTTCTCCGCGCCGTTCGTGCGCCGGCAGACGAGCGAGAAGCAGTGCGCGCGCGCTCTGCGACAGCTGTGCTCGCTCGCGGCGCTCGGCCGGCACCGGGAGCAGGGGCGGCCGGTGTCGGCGCTGCGGCTGCGCCGGCGCAAGGTGGCGCGGGTAGATGCGGACCGGCCCGGGTAGATGCAGGACGCAGGCCTGCGCAGCGGAGTGTTCCGCCTTCCCCGGAACGCCTTGCTCGGACCGCCTCCCCTCGCGTCGCAGGTCTTTGAGGGCTGGAGCACGGAGCACGACGCGGCCCTCCTCGACGCGATCTGGACCGCCGGCTTCCCCTCGCCCCGCCGCCCCGCCTCCGACCTGGCGTGCTGGCGCTCCGCCGCGCGCCACATCGCCGCGGCGGCGCCGGCCCTCGCCAGCCTCTCGCCCCTCGCCACGGACGGCGAGGCGGGCAGCGAGGCGGCCGAGGTCCCGGCGGACGGCGGCGACGGCGGCGTGGCGGCGGCCACAAGGGCGCTCAGCGACCGGGCGACGCAGCTGTGCCGCGCCATGCTGGCGTACGAGCGCGAGCAGTCTCGCGACCTGGCAAAGGAGGCGGAGGCGCGCGAGCGGCGGCGCGCGGAGGCGGAGGAGAAGCGGCGGCAGCGAGAAGCGGCCGAGGAGGCCAAGCGGCTGGCGCGCGAGCAAAAGGCGCGCGAGGGGAGGCGGCTGGAGGGTGGCGTTGCGCGGCGGCCACAGCCGTTGGCCCTTGTGGCGCCGTAGGCGCTCGAGCGTGCGGCGGCGGCCGACGCCAAGGCGGCGGCGGCCGAGGAGAGGCGGCGTGTCAAGGAGGAGCGCCGCGCGGAGCGCGAGAAGGAGGAGGCGAAGAGCGTGGAGCAGCGGCGCGAGGAGAAGAAGGCGCGCGAGGAGGAGCGGGTCAACAGTTTGCTCGAGCAGGGCAAGAAGGTGTGGGCGGCGTCGCGCGAGGTGGAGGACCTACCCGACAAGCGGCCCTACCCGCCCGTGCCGCCCAGCGCGGCGGGCAAGCCGCAGGAGCGGAACCGTTCGTGCCACATCTGCACCCAGGGCATCGCCTCGTGGCGGGGTGCCTTCACCGCCCCGCTCGGCTGCTCCAAGTGCCCGCGCATCTTTTGCGAGCGCTGCCTCGGCCACCTGCAGGACGAGGCGCTCCTCCCGCTCGCGGGCAAGCCGCTCTCGACCTTCTTCGACGACCACTGGGACGATTGGACTTGCCTGATGTGCCGCGGCGTCTGTGCCTGCCAGGAGCCGCAGCTCAGCGCAAAGGTGCCCATCGCCTCCGTCTGCGCCGCCGGCCCCGGCCGCTGCCGCATCAAGACGGCCGAGCCGCACCCATTCCGCTCGGGCGATTCGGTCAGCGTCTCCGGCTGCAAGCTCGCCGCGTCGGCGGGACCCGTCGCCTCCAAGGCGCTCCAGCCAGTCAACAAGCAGCACGGCTCCGTCACGTGGATCTCGCCCGGCGAGATTGAGTTGCGCGCGGACGCGAGCGGCCTGCCCCCCGTCGCCGAGGCGAGCGGCCACGTCACGCTCCCGACGATCGAGAAGCACAAGCGGCGCGGCTGGGTGGGCGTGACTGGCTCCGGCGCCATCAAGGCGTCGCCCGCCACCGCGGCGGCGGTCACGGGAAAGCGGAAGGGCAGCCCAACGCCGATGAAGCGGAAGGGCAGCCCCTCGCGGGGCGGCGGGCGCCGCACGCCGAAGAAGACCTCGACGGGCACGCGGAAGGCGAAGGCGTAAGCGATGATGAACCGGCCGGCACGCGAGGTTGCAGGTTGAGAGTGGGGCACCGACCGGCATCGGCAGTGGCCACCGCGAACCGGGGCCTCGTCGTGGCAGAAAGGATGAGGGGGCGGCAGGGAGATGTGCACAGAGGGGCATGTGCAACGCTCTCCTATATGCCGTAATGCTGAAAACACATTCGTATAAAAGTGCCTACGCCCGCCGCGTGGCCTCCGCGACCCGGCGCACCCCCTGGCCCTGCACCGCACGGGGCACCCCCAAGAGCGCGGAGCCGGAGACCCGGAGCCCCGTCCGCCGTGCCGTCCAATCTGAATCTCAAGCAGCCCGCCTCAGGGCCAGGGCGGCCTCGACAGCCAGCGCGCAGGCGGTGACGGCTGATCGGCGCTCACCGCACGTCCTTCATCTTTATGACGTGCGGCGGGTTCGCGCGCCCCTTGAGGAAGGGGTGCATGTCCTGAGGCGTCAGGAAGATGAACTGGCGGTGCTGCTGCGTGCTGGTGAGCTCGAGCAGCGCGTCGACGGCGATCTTGCGGTACGTGTCGTCCATGAAGACGTCAAACTCGTCGAGCACGCGGAAGGGCGTCTCCATGAACTCCCACATCGACAGCTCAAAGGCGAGCGTCGTGAAGGAGCGCTCGCCGCCCGACAGGTTGCGCGCGTCGGTGGTGCCCGCGGCGTGCGCGTCCTGCGAGTTGCGCACGACCTGCAGCGAGAGCTTCTCCTCGCGGTGGTTGAAGTCGAGGTTGCCGGCGTGCCCCTTGCGCGTGAGGCGGCCGTTGAAGTCGAGCGCCGCCTGCTTGCCCTTGGCCTTGCAGCTCTTGCGCCAGAACTTGTACCGCTCATCAAAGTTCTCCTGCGTGCCCTTGGTGGTGAGCTTGATGCCGTCGAGCTCCTCCCTCTTGCGCACCGACACCTCCTGCGTCTTGCGCGCGAGCTCCTCGAGCGACGACAGCGTCTTGCCGCCGTGCTTCTTCTCCTGCTTCCTCTGGCGCGCCTGCAGCTTCTCGATCTCGCGCTTGATCTCCTCCTCGCTGCGCTGCTGCGGGTCCTCGACGCGCTCGCCAACCGCCGCCTCCACCTCGGGCAGCAGCCGGTCGATCTCGTCGCGGAGGCGCGCCCCCTCCTTCTTCGCGGCGTCGCGCGCGGCCTTCGCCTCGTTGCCGGCGCGCTCGAACCTGCGCCAAGGGGTGAGGGGTGAGGGGCCAAGGGCGAGGGCTGGCTTCGCCTCCTCCGGTGCGCTCGCACTTGCGCAGGCCGTGCTTGGCGCGGCTGACGGGCCCGGTGAGGGCGTCGACCTCGCTCGACTTCTCGTTGATGAGCTCGTTGAGGCGGGAGAAGCGCTCCTGCACCTCCGACGTCTCGTTTCTGCGGTCGCCCAGCGCCGCCTCGAGCTTGGTCACCTCCGCCTGCGCCTTGGCGAGCTTCTCCTGCTCCACCCTCAGCGACGACTCGAGCGAGGCGATCTCGCTGCGCGACTCCTCGATCTCCTACGGGCGCGGCGGCGGGCGCGTTACATGCGACGCGTCCAGCAGCGGGCGGCGAGCCGACGCCTCTCTCCTGCGCGGCCGGGTCGAACTCGCCCTGCTCCACCGCCTGCCGCGCGCGCGCCTTTGCGTCGCTCAGCTGCTTCTGCAGCGTCTTGACCTCCTTCTTGCCGGCCACCTCCGACTTGACGTCCCGCTCCTTGGCGCGCTCCGCCTCGGTCAGCCGCGCTTTGCACTGCTTGAGCTCCTCCGCCGCCTCGCGCTGCTGCTTCTGCACACGTCCAACGAGGGAGGTCGGGGGAGAGCCGCGGGCGTGGGCGGGCGGGCGGGCGGGCGGGGGGAGGGGGGGGGGGGGGGGGCCCAAACACAAAGGGGAGGGGCAAGGCGGCCCCTCCAGGTCCCCCTTCAGGGGCAAAACGTCGGCCCAAAAAACGTTCCCAAATTGCCCCTCCCAAGGCCTCCGCTCCTCCAGGCCCTGCTTGTCAACGGCGAACGTGGGGCCCTTTTCGATGACAACCGAATGCACCCTGGTCGGCCCTCCCTGGGGGAACTTGAGGCGCGTCTTGGGCAGCGCCTCGCGGGCCTCCTCCTCGGGGGGGATGAACACCCCCCCCTGCGGCCAAAAGGGGCCCCCAGGGTGAAAGGAAGGGGGCGGTACCCCAAAGGCGGGTGGGGTGGCGGTGTCGGTGGCGGTGTCCGTGG